CAACACCAGAATGTTTCCTTCCTGCCTTCCTTACAGGATTAATCCTGTAAAGTGGGGGAAAAAGAAAGGAGATTTCTTCCAACAACTTATTCTCTGAACTGCTTAGAAAGTTAACAACCGGTTCTCCCGAATAGGTGCAAACTGGTTGAATCCCGCTACTGATGTTCTTAATGCTTTGGAAGTGCCAGCAGAAATAAATACATTTAGAGTGAATTATCTAGTACAGGCATTGCTTGAAGCAGATAGCTATCAGCTTGGATCCAATACTGTTTTAAATATAATTTAATAATTAACTATAAGAAGAGTAAAATTTAATGTTTGGACCTTAGTTGGTTTATTTTTGTCAGCTTCAGTGAAATGGCTTATCCATTAGAAAAGGCATAAAGAAAAGACTGATCAGATATTTAATTTTTAAAAAATTGACATACTAATTTCATCTACATCTTGCTTCTTTAAAATTAGTTATGGAGTGGGAGGTTACTGACTTATGTGGATTATTAGAATTTTAAATAATTGGTTTAAGGTAATAGAGTTTCCCTCTTTTCTATAATTTAAACTTTTTTAAAGAAAGAAACATACTACTTGTTCTCCTTTTGGTTATCTAAATTTGTTAAATATTTAGCTTTATCATATATCTGCAGATTATTTTCAGTTACTGAATAATTTGACTCATGATTTTTAAAATCTAGCATTTATGTCATATCTCCACCAGTGGATCTCAGTACATTTGCCTATTTAAAAAATTGGCCCCTCTCATATTTAACATGGGGGGAAAAACACATTTGGAAAAATAATTAAACCTATTCTTCAAGCTGGTTTGGCTGTATTAAGAATGCAGTGAATGACCTCTGCTGTTCTAGATGGGTAATTTTTGAAAATAGCATATAACTTTGTTGCAATACATTTCCCTTAACCTTGACTGTTTGGGACTTATTAATGCTTTGCTTTCACTTGCAGATTATAGTGACAAAGTTTACAGAGGTCTAATTAAAAAGCATATTAACTTTAAACAAAAATATAATAGTATGTATTTTGATTATTCTGTTATTTTAAGGTAAAAACTAAATGTACCATTTTAAACCTAATTATTAAATACAGTGTTTGTAGAAAATTATTTTCTGTTATGGGTTTATGTAATCTGTCGTCTATTATCAATGGCTGACATAATAAAGTTATAGTACTAAATTAAAGTGAAAAATGTGAGTCGTTATATGAATAGAAATTAATTCTTACTTGCTACACAAGATTTAAATGAATGTATTTGATACTGTTCAATATTCAGCTTTTGTATTAACAATATAACTGCAATGCATTACTTTAAGCAGTTTTTATGTTGATATAGCAATGTTACTTATTTTATTTTTGTTCCACGTGAATTATATATGGATTTAAACCATCTGTATTTTGTTGTTGATGTTATTACAGCAATTATATCCTAAGTAGCATATACTTCAGAAAAATATACATATGTAACATTAGGAGACTCTTTCTATAGATGGACAATTGAAAGCACCCTGTCATATTGTATTACTCTGTGGTTTGGAAGTATTACTGTTTTGCAGAGATGGGTGAGGAGGCGGAAAATATTATTCAATGTCCACTTCCTTCTATGCAGGACATAGCATATAAGAGTTGCTTAACCAGGGTCTGCAATATTGTCAGGGACGCTACACAACCTATCCATGACCAGTTTTCTTTGTTACCTTCTGAGAGGAGGCTTCATGCTATCAGAAGCAGAACAACTAGATTCTGTAATAGCTTTGAACCATATAGTATCAACCTTGCCAATTCTCAAGGCTCTTTTTTCTGCTATGTATTCAGAACGGACTGCTGTGTGTGTTTGTGTGTGTGTGTTTGTGTGTGTGTTTGTGTGTGTGGGTGCGCGCCCGTGGGTGTGCATGTGTAGCATATGTATATGTGTGTGCATGTATGTGTATGGTTATATTTTCTTTTGAGAGCGGGCATTAGAATTTAATTTTTTAATGTGCGCCAGTATGTTCAAGAAAAAAGTGACAATAAAGGTTAACTTATCTTAACTGTCCTTAGGTTTGATAGAAATGGAATACTACATTATTTTATTTTCAATGCAGTAGTTTCCAACCATTCATTTTCTAATCTATTAAAAACTGTCATACCATCCTAACAAAGTTGGCAGAACTATTTCTTTGTGCAGAAATAGGATCCATATCTGTCATAAACATGTCCTTTTCCAATTGGCCTCCATGTTCCTGAAAGAAGAAATGGATTGTTTTTATTAATTAAAAGGAACACTAGGCTGTTCAGCCAAGTAAAATACAGCATCTAGGTCACTATATTTATATTCTACCTTCTTGAAAGATATAGATTGTTGTGGTCTTAAGTAACAATTATTTAGCATTTAGAGTAGTACTTTCTATTCATTTCATACAGTGATATCTACTATAGAAATCTAATATTTTAGTACCTCAATTTATGCTGGTATATAATTTAAGTATTAGAAAATGTTCCACTAGTTAATCATATAACTCTTATGACACTTCTTAATGGGAGGACTGAATACAGAATGAATAAATAGTGTAACTAATGCATGCAAGGTGTAGGGGGAAAAAAACAAGCAAAAGGAACCTCTGTTGATCCATGAGAAAAAGTGAATTTGTAAAAAGCTAAGCCTTAGGTCTATTGATTACAGAGTCACTTCATGGAATTTTGTTGCCATTAAATTGTTGGAATTCATTCCGGGTGTTTGTGTGCAGGGCAGTTTCTGCTGTCTGAAACACACATACACAGGGATGCAAAAACATCGCACCAGAAACATCTTTCTGGCCTAACGGTCATAACTCACTATGCAGCCTCATGTAACAAGAACTATGTGAGCCAGTTACTCCCACACCTGCTCTTTCTCCCCCCTATGCTGTGCTGTAACTTTCTATTCCCCCTCTCCCCCTCCCAATGCCATGCAGCTTGTAACTTTCTGTTCCCCCTTTGCCCACCCTTTGCCATGATGTGATTTTCTATTGGTTTATTTGTAGAATGCTGTGAACTTTTCATTAGTTTACTTGTACCATGTGTGATTATATATGCCTTTTGATACGCTCCTTTTTGATGACGCTGTAACTAATTTTTTCTAATAAAAGAGCCCTTCAATGATCATTCGAAGCTTTTGCTCATCCCAAGGAATTTTGTCTGGTGTTTTCCTTTTGATTAGGCAAGGACACATGAGCAGCCCACCAGTGTGGCGACAACGCCGCATTAAATGGAGTTGCTTTCCATTACCTTCTTCTGTTTTCTCCCCCAACACCCCAATCTAGTTGCTTACTTATCACTGTGATTCTTTTAAATGCTCAGTTGATGTGTTATTGCATCTGTACAAAGCCATTATCAGAAACCCTCCAAAGAAGCTTAGGTGTGGGCTCACTGCTTTAGCCATCACTGGGAACCAGGCCAACATCGACTGGCATAGGCATTGGAAGAGGTGAAAGTAGAACATGGTGTGAATGCACAGTGTAAAATTAAACTTCAATATTTGTTCTTAAAATACCTGAAAAATTGTGTCTGGGATTTCTTTGTCAAAGAGAGGAATTTGCTGAAAACAGTAGAAGCCCAACTGTCCTAAGTTCCTAAGCTGTAACAGCCGGAAACGTTTGCAATTTTCAATATGTTCTTCAATAGCAAGGTTAAATTCTTGCAGTAGCTTAAGGCGAAAGTGTTTTGAATCACTTTTCTCCTGAGATTGCGCATACTGTTAGAAAATAATAAATATAAGTTGGGATAATTTTGATAAATACAACCAATAAATATAAAAACTTTACTGCTATGAACATTGTTCACATGCTGAAGAGGAGAAAATATAATGAAATCTGAAAAGATTTTGCCACTAAAGAAGCATAAGGAGAGCTAAATGTTTTGGAAAAACAAACTTATTCAGAAAATAATTGACTTTTTTCTTTATGTATGTATATGTATGTATAGAAACAGTAGAACTATTACTAAATGCTATGAAAACTTTTGTTTAGTCAGCATCTAAACAGAGCATCCAACATCTGTTACATTTTAAGATTATAATGTTTCTATTTAAAGAACCATGTACTGTAACTATTATAGTGAATAGATATCTATAATTCAAATACGTATTTATCCTTCCGTTTAATTAATTTTATAGTCACCTAATCAATGAACTAATAACTACAAGCATTTTGAGTATCAATTCCATAAGTCACATTATATGTACAAATGTTTCCACACCAGTCCTGTGTCTATTGCCATTCAATTTCAATTGTTAACTAAAATGTCCTGTATTATGAGAGAAAGAAAAAAACTCCTTTTGCATCTGCTCACACTGTAAGGCTTTGTTTTGTCAAATGTCTATAAACTGTACTTGTACTCTCATGTTTGTTAAAGAGGAATCAAAGCTACAATGAAACAAGTTGGATAAAAGGATAAAAGACGGTTCTAAACTTGGTTCTTGTAAAATTAATAAATAAGCGATATGATCATGTAGGGTTAAAAAGGAACAACATATACACACTTTTTACTTATCAAAAATTATTACAACATCCTATTTTAGTTTCTTGATCAGTGTTTCTAAGTCTTTAAATTTATTATTTAGAATAAAAAAATTATTAACATTTATTACACAGTTTCTTTCAGAGAACTCAGAACTTCATTACAGAAATTCCATCATTACCATAATTAACTCAAACAAATCTGAGTAGTAAGGATCATTTGGGTCAATATTTATGTCTTTTGCCCAGTCAATTAATTTTTGGATATCAGAATGCCACCAAATTCCTGTCCCTTTTCCTGAACTGATGTTCCTTGGTACACTAAAACAAAAACAAACAAACAAAAACTTAATGTGAAATAACAGTCTCATTATGATGCCACAATAGGAAAAAAGAAACCTGAAAGAATAGACTTATTTTAACAGTTTAAAATAGTCAACGCATATGAACCTCAAGATGTATTCCAGCACTTTAAATCATACACTCAGAGCTACTAATTTAAGGGTGTAGAAACAGGCCGTAAATTATAAGAGTGTGGAAAAGACCCTTAAAAGAAGTCAATAGGGTTATATACCTGAAATGTAGGCTACTGGGAGCAAAATTGTGCTGCATCTAAAAGAATGTAAGAAAGTAACCATTTCTGAGAATAAAAGTATGTATGTTCCTCTTAATTTTGGGTAAGATCTAAATTTATGGTTAGTTTAGGAAAACTTTGTAGCAATAATAGCTATGACGATAAGCTGAACATGTACATTGCATTAGGAATATTGGTCTGTTCTCATTCACTGAGCCGAGGTGGCGCAGTGGTTAGGGTGCAGTACTGCAGGCCACTTCAGCTGACTGTTATCTGCAGTTCAGCGGTTCTAATCTCACCGGCTCAGGGTTGACTCAGCCTTCCATCCTTCCGATGTGGGTGAAATGAGGACCCGGATTGTTGTTGGGGGCGATATGCTGACTCTGTAAACCGCTTAGAGAGGGCTGAAAGCCCTATGAAGCGGTATATAAGTCTAACTGCTATTGCTATTGCTATCCTGAGGAGAAGCTCTGATCTAGACTCTGGTATAGATCCAAAGTGGGAAAATTTCATGTCAGGCCCAGTTTAAGGCCCAGGAAAGGATGAAGAAGAGAGGGGAAGGGAAGAGAAAAGGAAAAAAGGGAAAAGGAAATAAGGAAAGGAAAGGAAAAGAGAAAGGAAAAGGAAAGAGAAAGGAAAGGAAAAAGGAAAGGAAAAGGAAAGGAAAAGGAAAGGAAAAGGAAAGGAAAAGGAAAGGAAAAGGAAAGGAAAAGGAAAGGAAGATAGAAGAAGGACAGAAAGGGAAAGGAAAGAGTGGAATGGATTGGTACTGCTCAAAAATCAAGTCTCAAGATCCCGTGGATTCCTTTGGCTCAGGCAGTCCAACTCCACGCTGCTTCCCTCTCTCGGCAAAGCGAAGGGATCGCAGAAAGGCTGCTGAGCCCAGAACGTGCCTTCAGATGACGCAGTGCCTGAGAAACGCGGGATGTGCAGAGAAATGCAGGCCACAACTAGCAAATCGCGTTTTCCCAGGAACCAACTAAGCCCCAGAGGACCAATGGGAATTCTCCCTTCTGCAGCATCATCGGTCTCCTGGCAGAGTCTTCCTTGGCTTCACCCGCTGGAGGGGAGAATTTGGTGCAGAGAAAGGAGGGGGAGGGAGGGGGAATATTTTAAGTCATATTTTAAGACATTAAAAAACACTGCGCGGAAGTTGGAAACTGCTGTGCGGCATTTTCTTGTTACATACGCGGCCGCGCAGCCGCACAGCTTAGAGGGAACATTGGTTACAACTAGTTCTTGAAGTCACATGATTGCGATTCAAGTGCTTGTCAAACCATGCACATTCACAATGATTGCAATGGCCCATGGTCATGTGATCACTATTTACAAAGTCAGTGAGGAAGCTGGCAAGAAGTTTCAGTCACATGACATCAATTTAACAATCTGCAGTGATCTGATTCATGACTGCAACTAGAACTGGTATTGTAAATCAGTGCGATAATGTAACATCACATTTAGTGACTGCTTAATAACTTGTTTAATAACAGACTTGCCAGTCCCTATTGTGGTTGGTGACTATCTGTATTTATATCCATTTCATGCTTCCTCCATGCCTATTTAATTGGACTGGGTGATGAGAAGCTATGAGTTTTCAGAATTCCAATAAAATTAATAATAATAAAATGCTTCTGGGAATTGGGTGGGTGGGTGGGTAGGAAACTTGTAGAAATAGGCTGTGCTAAGCCAAAGCCTGTAATTTTTAACTACTTCAAACTGGAGTGCAGAGGTAACACAGATATATGCAATTAGATTAGCATCGTTCTATCAGCGTAGTTTCAAGATTATAATTCACATGATTACTGAGGCAAAAGCAAAAATAGGTATTTCCTCAATTTATGAAATACACAATCTATTTCTAGGAAGACTTAGAACTCATATATTCCTTGCAAGACAAGGAAAAGAGATGCATGGCATGGTAGTTTGTGCATTGCAGGGAAAAATAGATTGTATAGATATTTTTTTACAAAAGCAAACAGTGAAAGTAATACATAAATATCATCACCTGTTGGAGGAAATAAATGCATGTTGAATAGTAGGAGCCAAATGAATTTCCTTATCATTAACTGCCCAAGATAAAGAATATATTAATTTTCCTGATGTCATAATACATAATTCTTCTGTTTGATTTTCACCAAAGAAAAAAGAAACATCTACAGTATAAACATAACCAAAACAAACATCATTGAAACACCAGACTTTTATTTCACTTTAAATGCCACATATTCATTGATGTAAGTTTTAGATGCTAACTTCTGAAACTAACCAATAGACTGTTCACTTGCTAATGACAAATCTTTGGCACTTAAAATTAGGGTCAAATTAGTCACAATAAAATGGATCTGGCTGATAAAAATGGGTATATGAGCATCTGCTTTTAAATTGTTTAGAAAAACAAAGACCTTTCATCTCACCAATAGCCTTATAGTCTGTTCCCATGTGTATTTTGAAATATACTTCAGGTAGCAATGAAAACATGAGGACCACTAATTTACTAAGGTTTCTTCCTGTCACAAATAATTGAGATATATTACTAAAAATAATGGTAATACAAAACCCCAAATCATTTCAAAAGAAGGGCTTTGAAAATAATTTTAAATAATTTAGAAAAAATGTGCTACATTTGGAAAGAGTTACAAGCTGTTTTTTTTTTAAATGTATCTGAACCCAAAGATATTATGCTTGTCTCCAGCCTTAGTATGTGTCCAGCAATGCCAGCCTTTCAGGGAAACTCCTTCTTCTTTACAGTTCTCCATTGCATAAAATAGTCATTCTAGGAAACAGTGCAAAGCATTGTAAGAAGCCCAGAGTCGTTGTGAATGAACAAGTTATTTTTACCAGTAAAAGAAAGAAAAGGGAAACCTCAGAGGCATCTTTTTCAAAATTACACTTAATCCTTCTCTGCCTCTAAGTTTAACACCAAATACTTCTTTCGTTTTGTATTTAAAATTTGGAGAGAGAAAAACCACAGTGAAACTGAAAACCTGCCTTGTAAAAACATACAGTGAAACAGAGTAAGTAATTTGAAGAAGTATTGCTGTAGTAACTTACTGCTTCCCACTGCTCCATCTGAAGGTTTAACTTGTTGTTCACAGCTAAACTCTACTTCATCCAAAACATCCTTGCTTTTCAAAATACAGTTATTAGGAAGAGGTAAGTAGACTTTGGCCAGCAACATGTTTTTATTTGACTCCATAATCTACAAAATAATAAATCATATAATATAAAACCATCTGTGTCAAATAAGAATTGATATTAATTAACCAAAGTATAAGGAAGAAAAAGCCACAATAAAAATATTTTATATAGATAGAAATGCAAGGTTAATATTATAAATATATGTATCTAGATCTAAAAGGATTTTTCCCCATGGGTTGCTTCTACATAAGCAGAACTAATTCAGTATAAATAGTGAGTTTTTGGAAAGATCAAGGTACCCATCTGCCCACTGCTGAGTAGCTTTGGGTCATTTATTCTCCCTCACTACAACCTATGTCATGGAGTAGTGGTTGTTGTGAAGAATAAAATTAGACAAGCTTGCCATGTATATTGACTTCAGTTCTAAAAAAAAAATAGAACAGAGAAAAAACCCAAAATAGAATGCAATTAATAATAAATAAATAATATCTAGGGGCCAGTCAGTTTTTCAGGATTGCACAATCTTACACTATAGTGAAGGCACAATGTTGTTATAAATATCAAAAAAATTAAAATGTAAACAAAATCAATGTTTTGAAATCAAGTCTTAACAAAAAATGCACAGGACATAGCTACATCATAAAATTCTTCCCTTTTGTGGGGGTGTTATATTTAATTTTGTAAATTGGTGGATACCATACAACGAGACCACAAATATTGTAATGTCAATCTACAATGCACATTTGCAAAAGAACCGGTGTAATCTCCTGGAATATATAAATTACTGATCGCAGCACATTACAGGCAGTCCTCAACTTATGACCACAATTGAACCCAACATTTATACTGTTAAGTGAGAAATTTGTTAAGTGCCCCATTTTATGACTTTTCTTGCTTGTTAAGTGAATCACTGCAGTTGTTAAATTAGTAACATGGATGTTAAGTGAATCTGGTTTCCCCAATGATTTTGCTTGTCAAAAGATGATAACATGACTCCAGGACACTGCAACAGTCATAAATGTGAATCAGTTGTCAAGCATCCAAATGTAAATCATGTGACCATGAGGATGCTGCAATGGTCATAAGTGTGAAAAATTGTCATAAGTAATTTTTTTCTGTGCCGTTGTAACTTTGAACAGCCACTAAGCAAACTGTTGTAAGTTGAGGACCACCTACAGTATTTCAAACATTATGGAGGACACAGTAAGTTCATTCAACAAGCATGTCAACTACATGCTTATCCTGAGATAAAATAGTTAAATATAAAAATTCCCCTCAAAATAATAGGAACAGAACAACGTTCAATTAGATGAAGGTTTTGTAAAGAGAAGATTATTAGATTTCAGATGCAACATTCACATCTGCATAGATACCTCTAGCTGAAGGGATTCAGACCAGTTTAAAATCTGAATTATAAAATGTTGTTGGAATATAACTTTAAAATCATCACAAAGAGAAAACTCTGGAGTGCAAGAGACCAATTTATTATTGTAATATATTTTAATAAAATATTTCTCCATTTTGACCTTTTCTCTTCTGTTCTGTTCTTCACTAAAAATGAACAAATTAAAGTTAATATTTTATTTAACCATACTGTCACACAAAAGAAACTACACATAATTTTTTGCAGGAAAAAAAATGAAGTATGCATTTATAGGTAGTCCTTTACTTAGGACCACAATTGAGCCCAAAATTTATGTTGCTAATGAGAATGACTGTGAAGTGGTATATAAATCTAATTGCTATCGCTATATCCATGTTTTTCAATGTTGCTGTCACTTTGAACAGTCACTGAACAAATGGACATAAGCCAAGGCCTAGCTGAACTATTAACCACAGTATTCTTCTGGAGAGCTTGAACGAACTTCATTTCAGTTGGACTGCTCTGAGTTCTACAAGAAGGCGATAGAAAGACCTATTCTACAGAAGATTGCAATGTAAGGTGGGGTACAGAGAGGAAAATTTAAAGATACCAAAGGATATATCTGCATTTTTTTAAAAAAAATTAGCCATTGAAAAGTGAAACAAATATGAATGATACTCAGAATCAACTCTGACTATACGCAATAGATAAATGTTTAGATTGAACAAGAAATAGATGAAGATAGAGATAAATGTAAGAAGTTAGGCATTTTTTGTTTATGTATGTTTAAACAATAGAATGAGGATTACTTAACTATGATAAATGTGATAGAGATTACCAATACTGTTACTCTGTACATACACAATATGGATGTATATTTTTAAAAAATTAAATAAAAATATAATTTACAAAAAGTGAAACAAAGTGGGGGAAAATGTGGAACTCACAGTGGACATAATTTTGCTGGTGTTATTTCCGATATAAAGGTCATATGAGGAACGAAAAATGTTTTCTTTCCTTCTTTAAGGTCTGTTAAAGATTGAGAGGTACAAACAGAGTCCAAAGAATCCTAGAATTCAATATTAATATTTTGATTATAATCAATACTCTCTCAAAAGATAATATCTGCATTTTTTAAAATGCATTTTATAAAAATTTCTACACAGGTTTACTGATTTCACAACAATTTATTTTTCCTTTTTTTTACCTCTTTTTCATCATCTTCTGATATTTTGGCTAGATATTCATCCAATTCAGAATTATGCATTTGCCTTGAATATGAAAAATATATGAAAAATAAACAATAGACATTCAGGAGTACAGAGTTAACAAAAATGTCCAAGTTATACATTACTTTCTTCCCCTCATTTTTAGTAGGAAGGAGAATACAATTAACAATGGAAAAGTGGGGATAGTCTTTTCACTGTCCTTGATACCCATTGTAAAAAACTGCAGTTTCTACTGATGATTTTGCATTGAAAAATGCCAGCTATTAAGAGAAAGACACGCCCAACATAGTCAAAGGTAAAATATAAGCTTGATTAATTATTGTTATACCAACACTAAGTCTCGGAAGCAGCAGTGTATGATTAACATATTGCTGCAGTCACCCCAGCCTATTAATGATTTTAAGGCCACAAGGTTATGGCATTTGGTGATAGCATACAGCCTATCCACCGATTCTGTGTGCCATATCATATTCTAGCAATAAACAATTGCATTTTCCAGTAATGTTTCAGAACCCCCAAATTCAACTCTCTGTGTCCTGTTCATAAGTATAATTTAAAGCAAAAACGAAGTATTTATCATTTAGTGGTAGTTTTAATTTTTAGAATTTTACTTGACCTTTTACCTCCCCTGTGAGTTCGAGTAGCCCAAAGCAACCCAATTAGTTGGACAGTTAGTTGGACTCTCCCTAATCCTTGTCCATCATCTTAAATAGCACTTTGGCTCTATCAGTTCTCTCAATCTTTCTACTGTGTATCTGGGAAGGGCACTTAAAACAAGAATATTTGGTTAAAAGTGGATCTAAAACAACATACTACAATTAACATTATGGCTTATAAAATTTAATTATGAAATAAGCCATAAATTTAGATTAAACCATAATATTCAGAAACACCTTCAATATTCAAATATTATATGAATAAAAATTAGCAGCCATTTATATTCCGTTTCTATTGAGCTTTCCAGAAATTTCTCTTCTTATCAGGCCAAATGCAGATTTTATGTCTTCTACGCTTCTTCTTTGTTAAAGTTAAAGATACATATTTTTCCAAGATTGCCATATTACTTTTTATAGAGAATTAATACACAAATTCTAATTGCATTATGATTGCCTTATACATCTACCTTTGAAATTGAATCTTTATAGTTGTACTGGTAAAGCTTTGCTGTCTGCGTAAAGTCTTCATCTGTTTCCACCCTTTCAGCATATTTTGTATTAAAGTATAATCGCGCTGTTGTTCCTTGTCATATAATATTTTAGTATTTCTTTTTTAGAATGAACAGAGGGAAGAAAATTACAGTGAGAATTCTACTCTTTAAAGGCACAATAAAAGCTAAACATTAATTTCTCCTGTTAGGAATGCAAATACACCGAAAACCTTTTCTTATATACTTATGCAAAGTACAGGTGGCCCTCAGCTTATGATCACAATTGAGTCCAAAATTTATGTTGTTAAGTAAGAATTTGTTAAGTGAGTTTTGCCCCATTTTACCACATTTGTTGCCATAGTTGTTAAGTGAATCACTGCAGTTGATGTTAGTAACCTGCTCTTTAAGTGAATCTGGCTTCCCCATTGAATTTGATTGTCAGAAAGTTGCAAAAGGTCATGGTCCCGGGACCCCACAATGATCACAAATATGAATCAGTGGCCACGCTTCTGAATTTTGAACATATGATCCTGGGAATGCTGGAAAGCTTGTAACTGTGAAAAATGGTCCTAAGTCACTTTTTTCAGTGCCGTTGTAACTTTGAACAGTCACTAAATAACTGTTGTAAGTCGAAGACTACCTGTATAAGTGTCTTCTTGTGAAAACAGAGATGCACCACAAAAAATAAAAGATTACCTGAGACATTTTTAAAAAATCACTATTGTTTAATGAAGATCTTGAATTTCCATCACACTTAACATTTTCAACATTCGAATAGAGATCATGAGGTTTATTTAATATTAAAATTAATATTAGAATGGAATAGAATAACTAGTGAGACTTCCAGGAAAATAACGGTGGACTGAAAGTGATGGCAATGGAATGAGGGCAAAAGGATCAGCACCTCAAAATTCCCCTTTGGATAGAAAAAAATAGAATAGAAAAATAGAATAACAGAGTTGGAAGGGACCTTGGAGGTCTTGGAGGGGAACTTAATGGGGACATGAAAGGAGCCCCCAACTGGCTGTCCCCCCAGGCAGTGGGGATGGCACTGGTTGATCCTTTCATCAGATAAGTGTTTTGGTGCTTCTGATATGGGAAAAATGCTTTATGTTGATTTTTATGTCATAAAAAGTTTTATAAAATTTGTAAACTTCCCGATTCCACAAGAGTCATAGGCTGTGAATTTTAGCCCATTCGAGGTGCCTTCGTTGAAAATGT